TTGTTGGTGAAGCTGCTTTTTGGTCGGGAGTTGTCATTGAGTGTTGCGTGGTCGATGTTTGCTATGGGTTGTTTGGTGGTAGGTGCCTGTTAGTTGCTGGTTGTTGGCTGTTGGTTCTTGGTGGCGGTGTTGCTGCTGCTGCTTGCAGGTGCAGTGGTATCGGGGGTGTCGGATGCTAAGAAGAATATGCCAGCTGTACGGCGTGCTCATTGTGAGATATGGTGTGCTCGGAGTTAGCGGCCAAGATAGTGTTGCTACTTGATTCTGCTTCACACAGTGCTGTCGGGGGGGGGCTGCTGATTTGCTGCAAAACAAGCCCCAAAAACCCTGCTTCCTGGTTTGTTCACAGTTTCTCTGCTATCCATGGCTTTTGCTGGCTCCTTGTAAACCTGTGTGTTGCTTCTTGACGGCATTGCGGGCATCAGCCGCTTCATTCCTGCATGGGATTGCCAGACACAGGTGCAATTTATGCATGCAACAGGACAGAACATGCCGCATCCGAGGTAGGCGTTGCCATTCCCAAAGCTTCTGCGCTCATACTGGTATAGTGATTGACCATTCGTGGTTGACCATTGGGTTGCACAGTTGTTGGCCAAATTAAGTACGTTGGAGTTGTTTTTTAGCGCAAGTGTGCCACTCGGCATCTTGAGTAACTTGCTGCGTGTCAGAGTTGTGCAACGAAGACCCAGCACAGTCAGTTGGAGCTATATAGTACGAGTTGCGTTCAGTGTGCTTGCGGTAGGCTTGCTTTCCAGCACGCCGCCCATTTTGAACATGTTGCTCGTAGTGAGGGCAGGTCCTCAGAAACTCTTGAAACTCAAAAGCCCACGCCATTGCTGCCATCACGTCACTAAACTTTCAGGAACTTCAAGCCAATGTTTAGCATGAAGGAGCAATCATCTGGTTTTGTTTGCAGAGGTTTAGACGCAGTTTGCCCGCAGGTGGCTCACCTATGCAATGTTTCACCATGGCCCGGCATCTCAGCATAAGCACCACCGGGCAAAAAGACCTGCTGGAAGGGCATGAGCGTTACGCCCTGAGAAACCTCACTGTCTGGTTCTATAGTTTACATGGTTGTCGTTGGAAAGCATTTTACATTTTTGCTTATTGTGGTTTAGTGGTGGAAATGCAACCACTTAACTGCTAAAAAAACAAGTTTGCTCCCCTTCCAACGTCAACCAAGATTAATGTTTACCCCGGAATGATCCCTTTGTCAAGGTCGACAAGTTCAAGCAGTTTTGGCAGGGCCCCCTGCTCCCCCCCCCATGAGCCCGATCGTCTCCAGTCCTTTGTGTGACAGGAAGCTGCATATTTTTTATATCTGGGCTGCGGGGCGCCAGGATTGCTGGGTCGGTTTTGAATTTTTAGGGGCAAGTGTCCTTCAAGGGGGGTACCCTGGAAATTGGAGGGAAGGGCCAACAGTAAGCTAGGGCTTTCTTGAATTTTCGTGGATGTGCCCTTATCTGACTCGGGCATTTGGAGTAGGAGTTGTGGGGTTCGGGTGAGGTAGAATCGGAGGACAAGTGGATGGGGAACTTTGCTTCTTGAGGACAAGGCCCAAGCAGGCAACGAGAGGAACGCCCCTCTTGGATGGCTTTCAGAGCGTTAACCGGGCAAGTTTACATTCACCCTGGTTCCTTTCAGCATGGAAAAAGCTCTTGGATGTTTTTGGACGAGCCCCCAGTTTGAGACGCCCTTTAGGGGCCTGTGAGGATATGCCTTTTTCCGTGCGCAGAATAGCCCATCAGTGTGGATTTCGAAAAAATAATGCCAAGGGGGAGAAGATCAGGATTACTTTGCTTAGAGCGCCACAGGGCGCCGAGTGTTCATCAGCCCCGTGTTTTTGCACATAGTCGAAACAGCCTCGTAGGTTGATAATATGGTCATAGCCACCGATGTAGTAGCAATTCAGCAATTCAAGCTTCCTTTTAAGGAAGCCATGTGGTGTCTGGAGTTTTGAGAGCTCAGGTCCGGTAAGAGATTCCTTGGCCTGGGACATCATCAAGGTGAGCATCGTAGATGCGGCCGAGCTGCCTGTGCCGCTCGGCTCAGCCAATCGGTCAGCTGAGCATGTAGGTTCAGCCAACAAGTAGAGCAGGTCGGTCGCGTTTGGTCGGTCATTGACCCACTTGTCACTGCCAGACTTGACTTACCTTTTCGACTTTTGCCTTTCTGGTTTTCCAAGATTTTCTTTTCAGCCGTCGGATCCGTTGCGCACAAGCCAAGCAAGTTGGCGTACCGTCAGGGCCTAAACCAACAGAATAGGGGCGCGGGGTGCTTGACAACCAGATTGAGTCCTGATCATAAGAGAATAGCGGGCCAATGAGGTCCAAAACCTAATGGAGGTCCCGAAATCCCCCTTCGATGGAGGGTCCTTTTCCGATGCTTGTAGGTCAGCTCCTGCTAGCAGTTACTCCAGTAACCCCGAATTTATGCAGTGTGGCTTGTGAGGATTACCCCTCCAGCCTGTGACCTGCGAGCCTTCCACTGCCCAACGCAGGGTGCTCGCCCTAAAGGTGGGAACGGTCTCCGCTACCTCCAATTGGCACAAGGTTGACTGCGACGCCTTCTCACCGGCCTTTCTGCGTGCTCCACTAGCAGCCGAAAAATCCTTTGGGCCATGTCAACCCCCTGTACAGTATTTTTGGGGCTGCCTGTTCCGAGACTCAATGACTCACCAGACCTGTGCCGGCGCATCGCAACCTGCTGTTTTTGACTTCCTGACTTCCTGAACTGGAATCTTTCTGGGAAGACCATCTGAGTGGCTAATAGAAAGTTTAAGCCAAGCCACTCAGGAAGTAAACAAACGTCTTTTGAGAAGGCCCCTCTCCTTTGGGAGAAAAATGCCAAGCTGAGTTGCTACCAGTCAAACGGTTGGGTTAGAGGAACAAGTCCACCGGAAAACAGCTTATTTAAGGTATTTCGAGCCATTTCTCTAGGGATTGATTCCATTGATTCCCCATTCTTTTCAACCATCGTTCTTTTCAAAAACCCGCGGTTTTCCCAAAATTGTTGGTGGTTTTCTGGAAAGAAGGATTCCTGGAATGGGGGGGAAGCAACTGCTAGAATTTCCCAAACATATTTTCACCTGTAACAGAGGCCAAGTCTACCGGAAAACGGCTTATTGACGGTATTTCGAGCCATTTCCCGTAGATATTCACCTGTAACCCAGCCCTTTGAACCGGGTCATCCCACGTCTTCCGCCCGAGGTTCTACTCCTCGGTCATGGCGGGCGCCGCCATCGATCGCACCATGGAGGTCTTGGAGCTGGCACATTCGGGCGCCGCTGACAAAAAGGGGCCATGAGTTTCACTCGGCGTTCTCAAAGTGGCTGTGGGTCAAAACCCTGTACCCCTGTGAACATCAAAATAGGTGGCAAATGGATGTTCATCCACCCCAAAATGGAGCCATAGATGGCCAAGTGGGTTAGTTTGGTTAAAAATAGATGGCACTGGTTTAGGTGGGTTCCATTCAGAGCCGTCTATTTTTCCAAAAGGCCACCTATGTTCACTTGGCGTTCTCAAAGTGAAAACAGTTACATTGAAAAGAATGGGGAATCAACCCCTGGATACATGGGTTTTAGGGCGATCAAAGTCAACCCACCAGAGTTTCCAGTTTCACTGTTTCTGGCCATGAGTTTCTGGGGCCATGAACGTCAGAATCGGGGGGTTGTTTCCCTTTAACCCACCACTTCGGGGGTGACTTTGATCATAAAATCATGAGAGGAAAAGCAGATCCCAAACCGAGTCGAATATGTTTAAGCCGTTTGGTGGCAACCAACAATTTGAGCCATATGGGGCTTGATCAAAAGGTCGGGTAAACATCGACCTCCAAACTTCCATGTGCTTCAGGATGCTTGTATTTTGGGGCATATGGGGGTTGACCATGGAGCCGGAGGCTCTAAAGCCTTCTTTTTCTGGTAAGCTTCCATCTGAAATGTCAACCTGATTTGGTCCATATGGGGAAACCATTTGGCCCATATTCGATTTCCTGGTCCCAACTGGGCAAGTGAGCACACATACACCTGCACGCGGGCGCACATGTTTCTCTTAGTTATGATGAGGACTTCATTTGGGGCCTGCAGGGTTGCACTAGAGAGGGGGAAGAGAGAGAAAGATAGAAAGAACAAGGTCAGCGAGAGAGGGAGGGAGACAGAGATCCAGAGAGAGATAGAGCGAGAGAGAGAGCGAGAGCGCGAGAGCGAGAGCGAGAGAACGAGGGAGAGGCAGAGGGAGAGAGAGAGAGAGAGAGAGAGAGAGAGAGAGAGCGAGAGCGCGAGAGCGAGAGAGAGAGGGAGAGGCAGAGGGAGAGAAAGAGAGAGAGACAGAGAGAGAGAGAGAGAGAGAGAGAGAGAGAGAGAGAGAGAGAGAGGGAGGGAGGAGGGAGGGAGGGAGAGGGAGTGGCCGAGGAAGAGGGAGAGGAAGAGGGAGACGGAGAGGGAGACGGAGACGGAGACGGAGACGGAGAGGGAGAGGGAGGGGGGTGGAGGTGGAGAGAGAGAGAGAGAGAGAGATAGTCAGAGATAGAGATAGAACGAGAGGGAGGGAGAGGGAGAGGGAGTGAGATGACCTGATTTGCGTTCAAAGTACCCTACAGCCCCATTCCAAGCATTCAAGCCCTCATGCTACCATGCTCAAAACACGGGATTTAGACAACCATTGTAAGTGTTCCAATGAGTGGAGCCATGATAGTCGGGGATCATCGCCAGGTTTGGCCTTGAGTCGGCGTCTGGTCAGTTTTGGATGAAGACCTGCATAGTTGTTCTCGCGGCAAACCGAGCTTAGTATGATAGGCCCTTCATTTGGGGACCCGATTCTAATTTCAGTTTGTGTGTTTCGTATCGTGCATGCAGATGAAGTTTGACGTTGCTACTTGCTTTGGCACTGCGCACGGCAGTGCCCTATTGACAATTTGAGAGGCGCCTGGACATGCTGGCCTGTTTGGTAGCAAGGCTGCGCCGCCCCGTTTTGCATGTGTCATATTGTTTCAGATGTCAGCGATATACGCATTGCGGCCCAATGCCTTTCATTGGCTTCCCCTGCTTTGGCTACAGGTTGCGCAGTCTCAGAAGGTTGCAACTTGTCACGGGCACATTGGTTGGCTGGATGTGGGTTGGTTGGATTGCTTTATTGACGTGCACGTGAAGTGTACATTTTCCTTTTGCCCTCCAACATCCCACTTAAGTCAAGTTGGGGAGTCTCACGCTTTGGTCTAGCGCGGCCTTTCGCAGCAACAAATGCGAGGCATCACTGCTTTGTTGGCTTCTCTGTTTGCTCAAAACTTGTGTGGGTTTTGAAAGTATGGACTCTTAAGAGGAGGCAAGTTGAAGCTTGTTTGCTTCTGCAGCACCGAGGTTCTAGTTGATCTCAGGATGGATGCATTTCAAGGGTGGTAGGCTTGAAGCAATCGCATGTTGTACTGCACGAGTGTGAATAAAGGCTTTCTCAAGCTTCAAGTACTTCCCCGTTTTTTTGTTTTTGCCTGAATGAAAGCATCCTTTGTGCTTTTGTGGACCGTTTCTTCTTCTTTGGTGTGTGTGTGTGTCACCACGTGTCGCGCCACGTTGAGGTACGAACCCCGTTCGCCATGCGCCACTGCGTGTGGTGGGCTTTTGGCCCTTTGCCAGTCAGGCCTGGATCAAGCGGAAGCGGAGGCGGTGATATGGCACCACTTTGTGAGTCTCAAAGGGTTTGGTTCCAGGAAAATCTGCAGGAAATGGCTCCAAAACACCCCAAACCCGATGTTTTCCTGTGGAATTTCCTGTAACCCAACCCTTTGAGAGTTGGCAGATTGGGATTGCCACGCTTGCAGGTGCCGATCTTGTGAACCCAAAGCTCCTAACTAAATTTGCTGAGTCGATCACACAGACGAGCGGTCGGGAGGTCTCAGGTCCAAGGTCCGCCTTGAAAACGTCGAGCTCCGGTTTTCGTGCTCTCCCCTTGGCTGGTTTGTGTTGCGACCTGTTGCTGGTTTCTGCTTGAATGCTGCTGTTAGATGTGCGCCGGTGAATTGAGGGCTTGAGTCATTGAGGCAATTGGCAGCACGAGCTAGGCTTAGCACTAAATAGCGGTTGTGTTGGTCACAATTCTGAAACAATTCAGTTGCGTCGACCTTCCTTTGTTCGCAGCTTTGCAGATATTTCGCCCCATACTCGCAGCACCTGCGACTTCTTGTCGAACCCATAAGTTTCTACGCGCACATCAAAGGAGAATGCAGCAGTGTTCCTCGGTCCGTTATCCTTCTATCATGGCTTTCGGGGAAGTCAAGGACTTCGAAGTAATGTTGATCCCAAATGAATCAACCTCCGTTTATGTTTTAGAGAGGTGTCCAACTGGGTTTGGAATCAGACCACTTTTGGAGGGGTCAAAATCACCCCCATATGAATACACAGGTTGAGACATATATGGGGTCAACAGGTAACCCTTGTATTAATAGGGGGGTGTCCGATTCTGGGTTTAGTGGCAAATCAGACCACTTTTGGATTGGCCAAAACCCCCAGATTAAAATAAACGTCGGTTTACTAATATGGGGTCAACATTACCGTTGATGTTCCCGGAGATTGTCGTGCAACCCATTGAACATTCGGCCTTTTGACCGCTCACTTCCCCCGAATTATGAAGAAACAGGTTGAGACATGTGGGGTCAACACAGCCAAGGCACCAGGGGCCAAAACCACCCCGCTATGAATAAACAGGGGGTGAACAGGTGACTCTGGTTCTCCAAAAGGCCTCGTAGGAAGCCCGGCACGCGCGGTCCCGGCACCGGCACCGCGCGGAGCGTGACAGACAGCGCCGCCTGGCGCCGGTGTGACGGAAGCCAGGGCTGGAAAGTCACCTACTGTGGATGGACGAAATCCTGCACCACTTTGAAACCATGGGAAACCGTAATTTGTTGGTATTTACAGGAGAATCATTCCAGGGTTTCTTAAGTGGTGCAGGATTTTGTCCATCCACAGTATGAATTGGAGCGCTTGGGTGGACATCGTTTCCCGAACATGGGCATTTCCCAATTTCAGGCCTGCCGGCGTTGGGGGCCATAGCCTTGTATCTGGTGCATTCCCATGCCAAAAGAGGCAGCGCGGTTACACTTGGTCAACACAACATCTTTGGAGAAGCGTTCTAAAGTTGCAGCTTCTGTCGTCCGTGGACCACCAACATGATACCGATACCTGTTTGCATGCATCCGGCCATGACATCAATGAAAAACACAGTTCAATTGTACGCCCGTGTTTGGGTAACCATATTCACTGAACATGTCGTGATGGTTTGGAAATTTGTTTTCGGCCGGGACCTAGACAATGGCCATGAGCATTTTTCTGGCTGGGGCAAGCACGAAACGGTAGGGGCAAACGACAATCACCGTGCTTCAAATGACCTGCTCATTGCAGCTACTTGTGGATAGCCTTCATGCCAGCACAGTTGAACAAACGGGCTGACCCCCAATCGACCCGCAACCGTTGAGTTGTTGTACTTCATAGCCATTTGTGATTGCAGCTGTTCATCCATGCAAGCTATGTAGCTGGCCTTTTTGCTTTGTCCTTACTGGAAGGTCCCTTTCGGCATACATATATACATTCCATTCTGGCGTGCAATCACTTCAACCCCAGTGGCATGAAGATTTGTTGAAGTGAAGCCGCACCTTGCGCTCATCAACGCCGTTGTTGAAAGCGAGAACGACGGTAACGACGCTTGCAGAAGGGGTCTCCTGTGAAAGTGTTTCCCAGTAGCCATTGCCCTCTTTCGAACGCAAAGGAGCGAATGGAGGGTTTTGGAAGCTCTAAGGCCCCTTGTCCATTTGAATGATAGGAAGTGAATAGCTTGGAATTCTTTCTGAGGTCCGTGGTGCACGAGATTGAGTGCTTGCTTACAAGTGCTTTGCATGTGGGGTTTGTCACTGGTGCTTCTTCCAATGGTGGACAAGTAAACTAGTGGCCGATTGCATTCTTCACTCACTCCTCAGCAATTCCCGGAGTCATTTGTGAAAGCTTGCATAGTGACGGGGATGCGGCCGGATATCATGCAGCCAGATTTGTTCCAGCGTGCTTGACTTGAAATTGCTTTGAGGCCTCATGGGTGGAAACATTGATTCCAACTTGGTGAACCTGCTCCTTGGCAAACCCGGGTGATAAGAAACCTTCAGGCATATGTTTGATCACGCCCCTTGGGTCCTTAGCGTTTCAGACATGTTTCTTCTCGGGGGTTTTGGTAAAGCTGTAACGCGTGATTTTGTAGATCACTTAGAAATGGCATTCATCTGGGAGAGAGTGCGTCGTGCTTCTTGTCGACTCCGATTGAACTGTCCCAGACCAGCATTGAAGAGCACAGAAGAGTCTTGGAATACAGCCCACCAACATGGTCTGGTGCACAGACCCCTGTAAAACGACCTTCCTCTTGGAAATTGAAAGGGGCTTTTTTTGTGCACTTCCATCTTAGTTGGGAGGGCCATCTATGAATCTGTTTGCAGCTGGCCATGGGTCTCAGCAAAAATGTATCTCGCTTTTTTGGCACGTGGGGCTGTCACAGTTGATCTTGACATGGTTCCAAGAAACGCAAGGGGTGGCCGCAATCCGCCAGTCTTGGCATGCGGAATGGATGATGTACGACATACGGTTGCCTTTGCTTTCAGAGACCGTCTAGAAAACGGTGTGCATGCGCTTCTGGATTCTACTTGTTCTTCCTCTTGTAGTACTTCGTTTGAAGTACTGTCTCAGTAGTCTTTTAATATTCTACAGGGTGGATCGATCCACAAAAACCCGTCGCTTGTGCCTGTACACATCGACAACTTTGATGCAACAGGGCGTTGCCCTTTTCTGTGCCACAGAGTCCATTCCCGCCTCCCATGTCGGAGTGCCACGCGCTAATCGCACTTTCAACGTGCTGTGAAGCTTGCACGATGAGTTGCTGTGGTGTCCCTAATGCAAGGAACATTCAATGACTTGAATCGAACATGGCGATACATGGCGGGCATTGTGGCCAACCAAGCGCTTCAACCCAGTTGCCCCCAATGCACACGAGATGGTTGCATAACTTGCCGAGGCTCCCTGAAGTTCAAAGTCATGTTTGAATGACCCCAAGGCCTATGCATATGATTGATATGATGCTAGCCTGCACGACGCATGCAGATGCAGAGATCTTCGCACACTCCGTTTCCACTGCCACAAATCAGAATCTCCGGGTCAGACACTGAATATAGAAAGGACGTACCACCCTACAGGTTAACATGAAGCCCACGCAACCATTACAGGAAACTTTTTTTGGGGCAACCCCCTTTTGGGTTCCATTTTCACAGGGGAGTAGCATTGACGATGTTTCAAAGGTCCTTAAAGAGCTTAGAGCCTTTGCCCGTGTGTGCTTTGGTGCCTTTCTCAAAGGAGGGAGCTGTGGTAGGTGCGTCGACCTGTCTTTCTCCCAGCGTTTCCTGAGGCACTTTCATGCGCAGCAGGCGGAAGAAAATATCACCAAGAGCCTTCGGCGCCAGAGTGTCGCGGAGAGTTAGTGATTTGCTTATATCCACGTATGCATGGGACATACATGTGCACAGAGAACGAGTGAGATGCGTGACCGTGTGCGTTGTGTCGTGAAAGATGTATGCAGCATTTGCAATTGTATGTAGATTTGCTTGTGCACTCACCTTCGAGCTGGCATTCATTGGCATTCTTTCACAGGTTTGCATGTGCACTCATTGGCATTTGCTTGTGCACTCGCAGGTTTGCATGTGCATTCTTTCACTGGCATTCAGGCTTGGCTGGCCTCAAGGAGCAAACAAGCGCCAATTAGGCAGAGACCTCTGCCCGATCTTGTTGCATTGCTGATCATCGACCCTTTGCGGATCCGACGTACACGAAAATCACTGGACATGCAATGACATGCATTGGGTTTCATGGGCGCCGTTTTGCCTGAGGCCCTGAGAAAGCGAGGAGTAAGCCAGTTCGGAGAATTGGGACCAGCCTTCTTGAGTATGGCGGAAGCATTATCGCAGCATGGACAACTTGTTTGTTTGTCTGTTTGTCTGTTTGTTCGCTTGCTTGCTTGCGGTTTGTTTGTGTTCGTTTGTTTGTTTGTTTGCTAAGCTTGTTCGTTGGTTGGTTGGCTGTTTGGTTTGTTGGTTGGTTGTGTGTGTGTGTCTTTATTTCTTAACGTCTCTTTGTTTCTTTGCATTTGTGTGTCTCCGTTTCATTGTTTAGTTTTATTGTTTGTTTGGTATTTTGCTTGCTCGCTTGCGTCCTCGCATGCAGACTATCTTGTACAAGACAGCGAGGGCTTGCTATCATTCATAGAGCCTATAGGGCGGGCGGTCCATCTGACAAGATCGGACGGCTTGATCAATCCACTGCATTTATCTGGAGTCTGAACACAGCCTTTGATTGCCCCAAACTGTTGCCACTCGTTGCTGCTTTTGTGCCTCCGCTTAGTCGCCGCGCTCGACATATGAGCCATCGGGCAAGCAGTCCCAGCCCCATCCCCAGAAGGGGGACTATGCCTGGTCAAATGCGAAATTGCTCCGCAAATCAAACAACTTGGCAATTTCAAATAGGTTTGAGAGGCGATGTGAGGTTGTGAAACGATCAGGGATGACACGGAATGAATCCACCTGGCGGGTTAGAGGGGGAGTTCCCCTGAATGCGCAAGATCCTCTCGAAAAGGGTGCGACCTCCATGAACCAGCTAGTTAACCCCATGCAAGAGATAACATGACTGACATGGCTCTTCCGAGGATGTTAAAGTCGCTGAAGCTGGGGCAGAAGCCCACGGATTGTGGCGACACCAACATCAGCACCGAGGTGAAAGTGGATCACTTCGTCGTAGCTTGGCGTGAAGAGAGGGCATGGAGAAGCCAGAGAGAAGCAAGTTGCCTTTTCCCCAACAGCTGGAAGCTTTGGGGTCTCTGCCCGAACAAGCTCTGGGGTGGTTCGCAGCGGTTCCTAGCGGCTCCGAACCCTTGCGGGCTGTTGGGGGCTATTGAGATTTCACTTGGGCTTATTTTGCAGTCACTTGCAGTCCGCAGGACTGGTTTAAAGGGACTTCCCGTGCGAAAGTTGCACTCCAAGCGCGGCCAGCCGATGTTGTATGGCCTTTCTGCGGCGTTCTGTTGCGACTCCGCGTTGCTTATATTGTTGAGGGCCGGTTCACGGCTGATTCGCAGCCTTTTGGGGAGCGTGGTCGAAAGGCCTAGCTCAGTGGAGCCGAAAGGCCCAGGCCGAAAGCCAGGCCGGAAGTCGATCAGACAAAGGCCGACCTTGGGGCTGCCAAGCACCCCTTGAATTGGCTGCTCAGCAGGGGAGAGAATGAACCGAGGCTTTGGACCCCTTAAAGGAAATCACCAGCTGGATGGTTTATAGTGGGCATTCCATTTCTCATTCCCTGCCTATCTATCGCACCAGCAAGTGAGAGACGGCAGATGGCCTGATGCAAAGTCGCTTGCTTTGAACTCGCACGACACCGCCGGAGGTTTTTTGTTGTTGTTGTGCGTTTGTCAAGTCACACGTCAGTGGCCTCACCTTTCTCAACGGTGCACTAGGTGACCTGCGGGGAGGGCCGTATGGTATGGGCCTGCGTTACAGTTCTATCAAGAAATCTTGGTGACTCCCAGCCATCCGGTTCCTTAGCTTTTTAGCCGTTTAGTGTTTAGTGGGGTTTTTTCCGTTTAGCCCACTAAAAGTGAGTCACTTTTAGCGGGGGATCTGAGGACAGCCCAGAAATTCAGGTCGCCCTTTGAGAGTTGAGATGGGAAGCAACCATTTTTAGATGGGTCCCTGGTGTTCTTGTCTGCTATTGGGTTGGATCTTTAGACTTAACTTTTTGGTTGAAATGAAAGGGCTTTCCACTAAGCCCACAAAAAGTTAGAAACTTTGTGCAGAGGGGTCAACAGCAACAAAGTGTTGGTCACGCCGTCAAGCTTGCGGAGGTGATTGACAACGATGCCCCACAGCCTCGCGCAGCTTGGCAATCGGAGGGTGCAGGCGTATCCTTGCACCACCGGCTACCTTGTGCTTAAGCAGCAGTGCTTGTTTGGAGGGTTCCTGCCCACGTGGACGTGCTTGACAGCCGCAAGTCTAAAAGCTTTAAGAGGAACAAATACAACTTGACGCAGTTTCAGGAGGCTTGCCCATCTCTTCCACGCAAACAAGCAAACAAAGCTTCCCAGATCGTCCCAGCATCAATCATCGGCAAAGTGGCCACGAATGGATGGTGCTGTGGCCGCTTGTTCTTCACATGGGTCTACAGACCCTAGATTGAGGGTCCACACAGGTTCACTTGAGCCGCAATCAAAGCCCGGGTCGAGAAAGGTTAGAAGGAATAGTCCCAGGAATAAGTTGGTGCGGCCGCCTTGGTAAGTCTTTACATGGTTCTGGGTAGGCCATGTTAATACAGGGTTTTGATTTTGGCTCACTTGTGATAGACAACTTTCTCTAGAATCGCTTGCGTTGGTGGCCTCTGTTTGGCATGTGGTTACCAGCTCTGTGTGTGTGTGGCCCGTTGGCGCCAACCAAGTGCAGGGCGCAGAATTACCTGACATAGCTCATTACTGACTGGTTGCAAGTCAAGTTGGTGCGTATGGCGTCAAGCCGCAACAAAAACAGCCCAGCTTTGCACAACTTCCATATATCCGCGACTTCTTTAGAAGCCAGCCCTATGCCGGCAGGGGCTGAGACGCATCCTGCTCCCGAGTCCGGGTCGGTAATAGGTGGTCCTTTGGTGATAGCTGGATAACCTTTGTTGGGGCTCACGCGCCCAAAGCAAATCGACCTTTCAACCTTTTGCTCTTGTTCCCCGGTTTGGTCCATGTTGAGTCTTTTGGTTCCAATAGATCACCTGTATTTCCTGGTCCTTTGGGAGGAGTGGTCCATCGTTGTTAAAGGACACCTAGGCCTGCACCTCCGAAGCTGGGCCCAGATGCTGAGGTGTTGCTGCGGTTCAACGAGCAGCGCCTTGGCAGATCCGATGGGTTTTGTCAGAGTGGGCCCCGTGATTTTGGGGCGGGGGTTTAAAGGGAAGCCCAAAGGAGAAACAAACACCGCCATTCTGGAAAGTCCCAATCCAAAAAAACTACTTTCATTTGGGAGGTGAAGTCAATGGATTTCAATTGAGAGCCAGTCCGGGAAGCCAAGTGGCAGGGCCAGGTATTGATCGATGTCTTTCCAACAGCGATGCGTCCTACGATGTGTCCTGGTGGGTATGCATAGTTATACCAAAGGTTCCACTTCGAGTTAATGAGAAGAGTTGCAGGCCTTCAGTGGCAGGCGACCAGCCCATCGTCAGCCGTTTGCTCCTGGTCGCTCACGCCTCAATTGAGCAAGGTGGAATTTGCGTTTTCTCTTCGCTGGCTGTCAATCACTCACTGGTGAGCATTGAGTCGAGTGTGCGAGATGCTAAACACTTGAGGCATACATACTGCACTTTGGTGCATTTTGCTTGGATGTTAGGACTTCAACTTTTTGGGTTTTCCGAATTAAAACCCGCCAAAAGTTAGTCACTGTTAGCAGGGGAGCAGATTTCACAACCAAGTGCATAGAATCCAAACCCAGAAGTCCTAAATCGGTTCAATGCCATCATATCCATCATGTTCACCGCGAGCCACGCGAGCCACGGTGACCTGTCCTCTCTAGCTCCGTGGCTTAGGCTTTTCTGCGCACTGACCCTACCTGGATTGAGAACCCCCTAATGGCAACATACCAAACCAATGGATCCGGCCCAGGGCCTGTCGCATGAGCGAGTTTCCCCCGAAGGCTTTGAACTCAGCAACCATTGTACGTCATATTGGCTCACTTCGTGAGTTGCTGGACTTTGAACTTTTTGGGGAGACTATTCTAGTTGTAAATAAAAAGTTTAGACTTTTTTTAGCCCATCCACTCAGGAAGTGAGTTGGTGTCCTTGCTGCATTTCTGGGATGTGGTTTTGCGGGCACAGCCCTGGGAAGAAAGTCCGTTGTCAGGTTTGAAGGGTCGATGTTCGATGTCTATAGTGGGGCACCCCCCCCCATTTCAGACAGTGCGCAACTCTCCCGTGCCAAGCTCAGCTGTTTAATCATTCTCAAGTCAGTCTGGCTGTTGGGCAGCGGCTCTCGTAGCATTTGGGCCGAAGCGCTCTCCATTTGCACATGGTATCCATCCACCTCAAATGATTGCCGAGAATTGTTTTTCCATTTTCTTAGTCAATTCAACCCATGTCTTGTGTTTTTGTTTCTTTTGTTTTATTATGTTTGTTACTATTTGGGGTTCCATGTTCATCTAATTTGGTTCAGGTAACCCTTACTTGGTGGTTTGGATTGGTGGTTTGGGGGGGCTAAACCTCTGGCTCTTGTAGAGGGTCAATGGGAAACCAATTTCCAAGCACCAAACCACTCGGCTCCAAACCACCAAATGGAAGGAAGCTGATTGTGGTCGTCTGGTCTCGGTGCCTGAGGTGTGCCCAATGCCGAGAGCTCTGCGAGCAGCAGGAGAGAGAGGCTGCAAGGCCTGGGCGAGGTCTAAGTTGGTGTCAGGTGTTCATGGCTTGGGGGGGGGAGGGGAGCCCAAACATAATACTGTGGATGGACGAAATCGGTTTGTTGGCATTTACAGGGGAATCATCATTCTATGGTTCCTCAAGTGATGCGAAATGGATTGCGTCCATCCACAGTATGGCCTCTTTAAGAGCTTGATACCCCCCCCTGCCCTCCAAGCCCCCAGGAGGCGTAGGTGTCGTGATTTTAGTGGTTGTTTTTGGGAGTTAAGGGCGGTCTGAAGCTGGGGTCAGGGGCAGGGCCTAAGAAAGTGGAAAGGGGGTGAGATGTGGTAGTTGAAAAGTCAAATGTGATCATTGTTATCGAGCAAAACTATGTTGAGTTGTCCGTAAAGAGGCCTGGGGTGAAACTGGGATCGGTATTTTGATTGTTTCTGGGAGTTCTCAAAGTGAGCCGCGGGTGCTTCCCTTGACCCCATAAGGACTTTGAGAGTGGTAACGTAATATGGGCAGCTAAAGGGGGGTGAACAGAAGGTGCCTAGATGCTTGGTAAGGTGTCCCCCCTCGCACCAAACAAAAAAAAGGCAGGAAGAAAGGCGTTCCCGCCTCAGAAAACACACGTCCCACATCAAGGACACCCTCCACGGCAAAAGCTGAGGCGATTTTGGTTTTCACTCCCTGAGTTCGTGGACTTTTATTTTTTGGCTTTGGAGCATTTGAGTGGCTAACAAGAGTTCCTTTACTTTGGCCACTCAAGAAGTGAGGGTTGGGTCAAACCAAAAACAAGAGCCTGATGGAGCGAAGCACAGGAAGCTGCTGGACATCATCCGGGAGGTGCCGGAGTGGTGCCTTGGTCCGAAGAAGAAACCCGATCCGTGGCCGTCTCCGGAATGCAAATCGACCTTCCCGTCTTGGTATCCATATGTAGTCAACGGTTTCAAAGCAAGCGAGTAAAATGCCCTGTGGAACCCAGGCAGGTGCACATCACAGTAAAGAACTACACCCTTTGCTCGAGGACTGGCGAGGTTGCTCATCAGGGCATAGAATTACATTTTGCCGAATCTTCTGGTTGGCTCACTTGACTCCTGGAATGCAGCTGAACATGCTGCATGCAGTCAGCAATTCGAACTAGTTGCCGCGAGCTGCGCCAAAAGCGCACTGAATGAGCAAATGGTTCAAGCTTTCATTTGGTGGCGCTAAGAAATGTACACATTCACCACGATACTAAAAAGGTAGCGCGAGATTAAATCAATCGCCACCCTCCTGCCTAGCATTGGACTGGACTGGGGGAGAGGGTGGAAGGGAAAGTTGCTCAGCACGGTGTATGTGGGCTGCATGTGGCTGAGTTGGTGATAGCAGGCATTGCCTTTGAGAAACTATGTTGGCAAGAAGTGAGCCTGCAAATTTTAACAGCTTCCATGCGTCAAACTAACTGACTGGGTCAACCATTCGACTCTGATTCGGACCCGTCATTAAAGGGGGCCAGGTTGAAACAATTGGGCTGGTCATGTGGGTCCTAGACGGTGAAGCCAACATGGCTAAGGGGCCTCTGCAGAAAAGACACCCTGAGTAGCTGCAGGGGGTTTGCACACCGAACTTTGCTCGGTCTGCTGCGAGCCTTAGGGGCGATGTTTGCCGTGCTGAGACTTGGCGGCATAAAACGTGGTGATAACGCAGCAGCGAATCCGTGTGTATTCGCACAAGGCGATCTTCATTTTGGGCAGGGAAGGCTTCGGCCCCGTCCCATTGAACGAGTCTGGCGGACATGTCTCAACTTGCGCATTAGTGAGATTTACCGACATTGCTTCACTCCAATGGACCACGTTTGGAAAGATGTTGTAGCAGTGTGTTCCCACCAGAATGAAGGGACGGGTACCTCAGCCAAATTATTCTTCCCCATTGTTGTTCCTTTGGGTAGGGGCAGTGCTTTCCACGTTGGGCATGTTTGAGTAGCTCTGTGTAGTTGCAGCTTCCATTTTGTTGGCCAGGGCGCAGTTGTTTTCCCAACATTGGCAGTCGGTTTGGTGAGCTTACTTGCAAGCAAGCATAGCTTAGTCATGGAATCAGTCATGGGCAGACATGGCTTGGCAGATGGCATGCTGAGATAGCATTGGACAGTTGTCGAGAACAGTCTACACAGGAGCTCCATGTCTTTGAGTTTGAGCACCCTCAGCCACTGCGCGCGGGCTGTGTGATGCTGTGTGAGCGGCATTAGCAGCACTGCTTTTCGCCCGTTCTGTAAAAGATTCGTTTCCAGGAACGCCATATCCCTTCTCGGAAAATGCATTTAGGGGGACCATTTAGCCATGGGGATTTAGCCATAGACTTCTACCTTTTCCCTCGGCTCGGCACACAGATCCCTTCCAGTGGTTTTCCTGGCCTCCCACCGGCGGGGCGTGCGTCTCAGATGCGCATTCGATTGGATGGTGCTATTCGCGCTACCGTGCCGGCGAAATCATGGCCATGACAACTGAGCAATGTGGACATTTCAAGATCAGTCCATCTGGGATTGGAGCTTCCAGGTTGCCGAATGGGGCTTTGCAGCTGTGTGATGCAACCAATCCCTATTTGCGGCAATCAGTATCCATGTTTAAGGAGTTTGAAAGTCATCCAGTGTTTTCTCACATTCTTTTGCATGCCCCTCTGGCTTTTTTCCAACGACCACGCAAGTCGGACATTGCGATGTTGCCTGGCTTGCCCAACCTCGCCTACCCAACGCGTCCGCATCCGTCCATTTGCGGATTCCGGATTCCGCAAAGCTGAACCCTATGGTTGTCGTGTTTTGGTTCGACCTCGCGGAGTTGACGCCTGGATTGAGCTGCAGAGTGACAGTTGATGCACGTGGGCTGGGGTCAGCTCAAACTCAAGTCGCTTCAATACGCCGTGGTTCGGCACGCCAAGAGTTTTCCGCAAGCGCCTGCCGCTGCGTCCAGGCCTTCCGCTGCGCTCAGTTCTTTCTCCCTGACTCCGATGTGGACGCGCTGGCATGCCGCGCGGGCGAGGCAGACACTTTCCCATTTGGGGAAGATGGCGGGGAAAAGCGGAGGCAGCTGGGTTTTGCTATGTTGCCAGGGTTTGTGAGTGGAGTGGACGCTATTGCAGGGTTTTGTGGGTGGATGCTGTAGCAGGCCCATGGAACTGGACCGTCCGAGCAAGGGTCCCTTAAAAGGAACAAGAAACAAATCATATTACTCATACTCCCTAGCTTTTGAAATAGGGGGAGTACACCTTTTATTAGTTGGGAAGGGTTTAGTCCAGTCCCAGACGGTCATCATGTTGCTGAAGATTGGCGGTTGGCTATGATGAAAGGGTTCTGCGCATGCCCAGCCCCTTCCATGGCGCATGTTGAATGCATCAGTTTGGCGCCACCCCTGGACAATACGGCTAAATGCTGAAAGCTAAAATATAAACAACAAAGCACAATGAAACACAACGAGACAAACAACAACCCGAGAAGCTGATGAGACAAGCACTTGTCACTCCATCTTGATTACTGTACTTCCACGAGCTTCACGGAATGTTTAAAGACTTTGCTTTGCGGGCGGACCATTTGCCATGGAATTCGACAAGCCGACTTTGTTTTGTTTTTGCCTCGCCAGCCAGCCTTTGAACGGTGTCCTTGTGCAATGTGTCTCAGAATTCACGTTGGTATGTTTCTGAAGCTTTGGACTTTCCTGGCGCATGCGGACATTTGCTCCCTTTCCAAGACTCGTGTGGACGTTTTGGGGCTTCCCCAAAAGGAAACGGTCGTCTTCGCCTCCGATCCTCAGCTTTCATGAGAGGGCGGGCGGTTGGGCGTCCATCCAGGGCTCAGAGCTGGAAGCGCCGGAGCAAGTTCTGCCGCTGCTGCAGCATCTGGATGAAGCGGCCCCTGGGACCTGAGTCAATGGTACACCGCTTTGAGCGGCTCAAGAAGCTTGCTGCGATAGGTACAGAATGACCTTCCCGGGTTCAATGAACCTAGGGCCACAGATGGTTTGTGGGGTTCATAAACTCCCTCATTCCCTGAGAACCAGCAAGCAAAACGGACGCAGTTTGAAGATCATCCTTGCGGTTAGTAGGCGGAGGGCTGGCGGGTGCAATCTTATTGGTGAGCTGGCAATGTTGCAACCTTTGTGCATTGCCTTCTGTGACTGGCTCCTGGCAAAGGCAACGGCACCATGAATGACGGACGGGGTGTAAATCTAATTCATGTGTCAATCAGAAGTGGAGCGATGACATCAAGATACGTTGTTGAAGCCCTACTGGCAGGGCAGCAGACTTGAACCTATTGGAATTCATGGAATAGATTCAGGCATTTGTGTCTGCTATACTTGCAACGCTCAGGTGTTGAACACTGCCCGCACCCCCCCCCCCCAGCCCGAAGCACTCGGGGCCTCCGGCCTTCTCAAGGGAGCGAGTTTGCGAGCCAGGAAGGTGTGGCGTCGACCTTTTGAGGTGAAGAAGTTGCCTTTTTTGATGGCGAAGCAAGGCCCAAACCGCGCGGTGTTTTTTTTTTTTTTTTTTTTTTTTTTTTTTCGGGTCCCTGAGCAATTCGTACACACCCGCTCCTCCTTGGACCCTGAGCAACCTATTATACAGCTTGTAAAGCGACCTTGGCCATGTGGGCTTCTCACGGGTTGAGGAAAGCACGGAGCTTTGTTTTCCGCTCCCTCAACGGTTGAGGCTCAGTTCAGCGCCTGTCAGGGTCGGCTTTCAATCATAATCAGCTTCAAAGCCTCTTCTTTCCTCGTTTCCAACCTCAATACAGATATCACGTTGGACCGCTTGCTGCTGGCACTCGGATTGCAAACCCTTCTCGTGCGCTCTGGGCCGGCCAAGACTCCTCAAAGGTGGAGATGCGGATGGCTTACGAAACGGGGCGCAAACGGCCTAGGTCCGTATTTCGATACATTTGATTGGGACCTATCCAGAACTCAGGTTTTCCAGATCCTGATGAAGGCAGGCCATGAGAGATGGGAGCTTTGCCGTGTACTTTGTCGGGTTCGGAGCATGTAGTTGACATGTCCCCAAAGATCTGGAGAGGCCAAACTTCCGGGCCTCACTCGGTCTGAGTTTCTGTTCCAGCCGGCAAATTGGCAAAGTGCCAAGGCACAAGGAACAAAAAGACATCCCCAGAGATTGGGAAGGTGGCAGGATGAAGAAGTTGTATAGAAGCCGTGCTGAGGCCTTTGAGGATTGGCTCCTCAATAGATTGAGGGGTCGTATATGGTTGACTGTCCACCCGGTCTTTTTGCGAATATGTGATAGACATTTGCGAGTTGTGAAGACTATGGATGGCTCTGGGGTGTATCGGACAATCAGGTGAGAAAACATCAGGTGATAGGCTTGCGCCAGGCAGAAAGGCTAGCATTGGCCAGCGATCTCCATCACGTTCAATCTCATCGCCATCTGGGCAAACAATAACAAGCACAGCTGGTAAAATGAGCTCACGCATGATGAGAGTCCCCTACCCTAGGGATTCCTTGTTTCTGCTCATGATAGTAAGTTCTCAGTTGCCCAAAGCGAATCGACCTTTTAACCTTTTGGTTTTCCGTTTTGCCCTTGTGTTGCCAGGTCCAAACTGGGCAAGTGAGAGTTGGTTGGCTCCTTGGCTCAGCATGCTGGGCCGTCAGGACTCGCCAGCCATCAGCACCTGTGATCTGCGCCCAGCTTTCTCCCACGTGGAAAACGCCGAGTGCCTTGGTGCAGTGCCCCCAGTACCTTCTTGGTGGCTTCCCCTCAAATGGTCAACCACAAGGTTCCAATTCGTTTTCCAGGCATGTTGCAGCTGTGAATGGGGGCTGCAGGCTATTGAACGTGAAATTGAGGGCGCCATCGTTTCGGTCCTTGTTTTGGACTTGTTCCGGTCCTGGCTGTTTACTCGTTTCGGCCCTAGCTTCCAGAATCGGCCCCAGATCGTTTCGGTCCTAGGTTGCGTCTCGTTTCGGTCCTGGTTCATCGGTCGTTCCACACTCCCAGAAACTTCTGATGTGGCAGGCTGCCTGACAAGGACCCAAATGACTTGGCTGGGTTTTGTAACTACGGCCACATGGGCGAAAACTAGGACCGACATGATCCAGACACTCCAAGCACAAATGAGCGTGGGCGGGCTGAGCACGTCCTAAACGGCCCAAAACCTGACTATAGGACCAAGATGAGCAAACAACTAGGTCACGCCGCCACTAGCAGCGCGGAGGAACTCTGTCAGAAGCCCAATCAGGATTCCTAATCACGCGTGTGGGGCCGCCACTGGCAGTTAACTATACAAGCGCTGCCACAGATCGGGATTCAGACCGTTCTTCTTACGGTAGCAGCCACTTCTGCACGTTCTGCAAGCCTTTCGAAGAGTTGGAGGCAAGGCAGCGCGCTTCGCAAACTGCTCACAGAACTGAAATGTATGTCGTAGTCTTGGAGCCTTTGGCGGGTCAGTCGTAATGAGCAAGATGACACACGCTAGGCAGACAGAAGTCCATTCGCCTGTGTGATACTAAGGGAAGGTATGTCTGGCACTAAACCAAAAGCTGGAGACGTCCAAATGACTTGTGCCCTGTACGTTATGCCCCCTCCCCTCCCCATCCTCCCCGGCGACGGCCGGAACAGCGGGAAAGGTGCTGCAAGGGGCTAGTACAACAAAAACATGTGCCAAATGCTCCGAGCAGTTGGCGGCGTGGGCCAAAACTCGCACCAACCGCGGGCTACCTGAGTTTCAGGACCTTTGGCTTGGCTCTTGGGTTCAGCTTACGGCTGGTCCTACTGATGGTCAACGCAGAGAGAGTGAGAGAGAGGGCGTTTCCTTTTTGCTCCTCATGTTGTGACTTTAAAATCAAGCGCGGGAAAGCGGCGCCCATTGCACAAGGAAATCTGCGGGACGGTTCGGTCAAGGTTCCTCAGAACGGACGAGGTTTTTCCAGTTGTTTGGTTTCAGCTTGACGCGAGCACCCAGAGGAGCAGGATTCCTTTTGCTCAAATGAGCTGGGGGAGTCTTTGATGACAGTCCCTCTTGAGAACAAGGCTGGGTTTTGAACTTAAGCCAAAAGATAATTCAAAGGGATTGCGCAGGTCTGCATACTTCTTTATACCTATTGAAGCTATTTTGGGGTGAGAGGGCTGGCTGTCCTTGTGGGGTTCGCGTGCCAAAAAAAAAAACGAGTCTCATCGCGAGCTCCGGAAAAGAAAAGCACTAAAACAGGGGAAACAAAAACCCACACCTAAAAGTAGCATTCCCGGATGTGGAACTTTGGATAGAATTATGTATCAGGGAGACCTTCATAAACAGGGGGAACGGATTGCTCCAGCCGTCGCCTCGCTTGCCCGCCGAGCCCGGCCGAGGCTTCAGCGCATGAGCCTGGAGCAGCTGCGGGCCCTGAAGGCGCGGAGCGACAGCGGCCACAGGGGTCCTTGGCCATTTGAAGGACCAAACTTTTGGGGCCTGATTTCGCATTTAGCTAAGGGTGAATTAAGCAACATAAAGGGTTGCCAGGGTTCATATGTGTGCCATAAACTACTCAGTTGTTCAGTGGCACCCTTTTTCCACTTTTTTTTTGGTGGCTGCCCCACTAAAAATGGTCTTCCCAAAAGGGTTCCCTTTTTTTCCAGGGTCACTGAACAACTGAGACTAGGGGCTCCATGCCAGGGGTTCTCGTATCACAAGCGATGCAACTGACCGGAAGCTGCAACTGAAAGCTGTGACCAAGCCGAAGCAAAAAAAACCTCATCAGCTTTTGGGCTGTGAGGTGAATCAAACTAGAGATTTGGGTCGGTATGGGTCAAAATTAAACCACCAGGAATTGGACCGCAGGTTAAATCGTCCATGTTTCCACTTACTAGGTCAAGCCATTTGAGGGGTGACCCTATTTTTGACCCACAGCCAGCTGGAGTTCTCCGCTTTTTTCTTTTGGGGGGGGGACAGTTCTTTTGGGGGAGGGTTCCCCTACTAAAATAGACTACAGAAAAAATGGCTCCCTTGATCTAACCTCTGTGCTGGAGGCCCTAGACAGCTTTTTTCAAAGCTGCGGTTGGGTAACGGTAGCGGAATCGTAGACTTTCACTTTTTGTTTGAAATGAAGGGGTTTCCGCATTTTGTCCCACGAAAAGTTGAACACTGTTCGCAGAGGGGTCAACAGAGACTGCTTTTTGGAGACCGAATTTGGAAGGGCCGCTGTGGCGCCGAAAATGAATCGAGATGCCTGGATTGAAAAGAACCTTAGCTGGCAAACCTTCCGTCGGTTCAAGTCATCGATGGATACTAAACCGCATGTGGACTTCCATTTGCTTAAGAATGTGTTGATTTTGCCCTGTTGGTGTTAAAGGGCATCTATCACTACTGGACTTTTTTTTTTGCAGGGGGCTTGGCCAAATGGAAGTGCACTGTCCTACATTTTGCTGAGGCACTTACTGTTGGACGTTGGAACGCGGACGGCAGTTGCTCGGATGTACATGTGTTCCAGGCCTTGCCCGTCCTTTGCGTGAAGCCACTTTTCGAACCGCTGTGCTTACAAGTCCCGGGCAAACTCAGACAGGGCTCGAAACCCGAGACCGACGGAAGCCCGGAACTTTTTGGCTCTTTGAACTCTGGATGGGGTGTTTCAGAACAAAAGGTTCGTAAGATATGGGACGACCAAACCACTAAAACGACTTGATATTTCCTACATGGCAAGTCACTTTCCACTCAGCTCCCCGCGGGACCACAAGGGTTCAAGCGATGTGATTTTGTGCTCCCCACGTGGGACAGGGACCAATGGGTGGAAGCAAGCCTTACGCACATCCCGTTCTTAATGTATGGGCCAATACTGTATGGGGATTCCACCCGCCTGCAATTTCCCGTATTGAAGGAGAACATCATGTATAAAGCAGAAGTGGCACTGATTTCCAGCGGGGGATGCTTTTCATTCAATCGCTGACTGTGTGCGCACATCTTTGGTGCACTTTGCTTGGATGTTAGGAATTTAACTTTTTGCCAACTGATGGGTTGTCCATTAAATCACTAAAAGTTAGTCACTTTTGGCAGGGGAGCAGATTTCGCAACCGAGATATGAACCCCTGGTAACCCTGAGTTTATGGCTTACTTCACCCTTAGTTGTGGCTGAATGGGAAATCAGCCCGCATAAATTGGTCCTTCAAGTTTATGGCCATGGGTTGCTACACATATCAGCCCTTGCTTCATTCCAGGAGCATTTCACGAACCTCCGCATGATGTGCGTGGTTCGCGCACTTCAAGACGAAGGCGAGGACTCCGAGGAGCGACCGGCGGCAAAGTGACAACCAGCTTGGTAGTCGGTTTGTTTTGCTTGCTGGTTTGATTGTTTGATTGTTTGTTTGTTTGTTTGTGTGTTTGTGTGTTTGTTTGTTTGACTTTTTGTTTGTTTGTTTGTTTGGTTGGTTGGTTGGTTGGTTGGTTGATTGTGTAGATGTGTCTTTGTTTATTTGTTAATTAGTTTGTTTGTTTGTTTGTCTGTCGGCTTGTGTTTGTCTGGTTGTGTGTCTTGTTTGTTTGTTTGTTTGTTTGTTTGATTGTTTGTTTGTTTGTTTGGTTGGTTAGTTGGTTGGTTGTGTAGATGTGTCTTTGTTTATTTGTTAGTGAGTTAGTTAGTTTGTTTGTTTGTTTGTCTGTCGGCTTGTGTTTGCCTGGTTGTGTGTCTTGTTTGTTTGTTTGTTTTGTTTTGTTTTGTTTTGTTTTGTTTGTTTGTTTGTTTGTTTGTTTGTTTGTTTGTTTGTTTGTTTGTTTGTTTGCGTGTTAGTGTGTTTTGTTTTTGCTTGTTTGTTTATGTGTGTGCGTGTTTGATTGCTTGTTTGTTTGTTTGTTTGTCTGGTTGTCTGTTTCTGTGTCTTTGTTTGCTTGTTTGTCTCTTTGTCTGCTGTGAGTTTGTTTGTTTGTTTGTCGGCTTGTTTGTTTGTCTGTTTGTGTGTGTTGTGTGTGTGCCTGCTTTTCAAGACCCAATTGGTGCTTGTTTTTTTTTTTGTTGGCACGTTTGTTTGTTTACTTGTGTGCTTGCTTGCTTGTTTGTTTGCTTTTTTTGTTTGTGTTTCTTTGTTTGGCTGCTTGGTTGTTGGTTGGTTGTTTGTCTCGTTTTGTGTGTGTGTGTTTTTGGCTGTATGTGCTAAACCAAAACTTAGCCTCTATAAATACGGGGGTCTGTCGTTTTCGCCGTGCCCGGAAATAAAAGCATAAACAATCACGTAAATAAATCAAGCTTTCTGGTTGGCCTGGCCCTTAATAGAAAGAGTCCGTAGATAGTACGGCAAATAATGAGGTAAATAATTGTAATTCATTCTCGCTTGCCCGATCTTGAGTGACCATGGGTGAGCTGGACTTAGTATCCCTCATGGACGGGGATATGTATTGACGAGAATCTTCCCCTTCGCGAATTTCACCTGCTCATATCATTGAAGGATGGCAAAGCATCATGTGCCATGAATCATTGGAAGAGCCGCGACATCTTTGGCATGAATGTTCATGCGTACTGGTAGCTGCTTGCCACATGTTTTTGCATGGTTCAGAACCGTTCCGGAGGCATTGGAACGCATGCCTGAACCGTTCTGAACTTCCGAATACATTGGAACCCATAACCGTTCTGAGCCGTTCTGGGGCCCGTCTCGCAAGCAACGCACAGAGCAGGCGTATAGTTCAAAACCGTTCTGAACCGTTCTGAACCGTTCGTCACTCAAGCTTCCCAGGAACCGTTCTGAACCGTTCAGGAGGGATTGCAGCAGCAGCAGACTACGAACCGTTCTGAACCGTTCAGGAGGGATTGCAGCAGCATACCCTGAACCGTGCTGAACCGTTCAGGAGGGATTGCAGCATCATGCCCTGAACCGCGCTGAGCCGTTCAGGAGGGATTGCAGTATCACACCCTGCACCGTTCTGAGCCGTTCTGAACCGTTCGGAGACATTGGAGCTGCTTACATACCTCGTTGTGCTGCGCTACATTGTGCTGCTGATACTGCTTGTCAGGAAATGTTTTTCCGTTACAGACCTGCGTAACAAGGACCTCCGTTACAGACCTCCGTAACAAGATTCGTGGCGCGTCGCGCGTTACAGACCCCTAAAAAAAATCATATATGAACAGAGGCTCGCAGAAACTACAAGCAACAACACCTGTTCAGTTGTCATCGGTACTCTCCTTCCAAATTCCCCCAAGGAGCATGCCCTCTGAGCCTTAAACCACTTTGTGTTTCCAGTGAATTTGAGCCCAACTTCCATTTGATTAAGAATATGTTTTCATGTTCCCTTGTTGATTGATGTTTAAGGGAACTGATCACTACCGGACATAACTGGACTTTTCCAGGGGGCTTAAGCAAATGGAGGCCAACATGTTCTGAATTTGCATTCATGCGCACAGAAATCGGGAAACTTGCGCGCTCAAAGAGGATGCGCTCTCATAATCCCCGGCTGTCAATTTGGGGAGTCGGCCCGTGAGGGCCTTTTGGATGTGTTTCCTTGAGGCAGTTGTTGGGGAGAACGGGCGAAACAATGGTATGTGTGTGTGTTTTCGGCATAGCGCCATTGTGCACTTTAGTGCAGCCCCTATGTTGACACAAAAACAAACCTGTATTTTTCAGGAAAGCTAATTGTGATATGGGAAGGCTGTTCGGTTCAGCCCCTCTTCGAATCAAGGAAGGTGATACAGTAGTGGCCTCATACTTTGAAGGCCTGCACGGTATATGGGGCTCGCGCTAGGAGGCAATGTCTCCAAGCTGAGCCGAGACCTGGTAGGCGAATAGAATGCTATTTTGATAGGAGCTCACCTGGGGTATAACGAGCTCACCATGATAAATGCTATTGACATTTGCAGATGGATGGTCACATGAAAGTCCCTGATTGATTCGGCGTGCCTTTCCGTGCCTGCGCCTTTTCAGGGTGTAGCCACTTGCGCCACGGTTTCGCACCAGGCGTCAGTGCAGGGCTGCCCAAAGGGGTGCGTGTACAGTGTAAAGTGTCATTCCGCTTTGAGCCAAAAGCACCGACTCTGCAGGAGCCGGTTTGCCTTTGCACCCCGTCAGTGGGGGGACCAACAACAGTGCCTTTCATGTACAGCCTGTCAAGAGGCCAGTTCAGAAACTGTGTAGGCCAGTTTTTGTTGCTTGACAAGGGCGCACGCTTCTCTGTGCAAAGCCTCCAGTGCGGAATGTCACAGGGCTAGGTGTCTAATGAAATTTGGTTGCCAAAGCACGCTGCGAATCTTAGAAACAAGTTGCGTTTTGTGGAAGTGAGAGCGCGCATGTGCTTGATTTAGTGTTCACGGGGAGCTGGGCGGTTGTTTATGCTTAGGGTTGGCCTTTACAAGCACAGCCGGGCGCGACACACTCGTTCCTGGTGCGCAATGAGTCGGTTTTTGTCAATTCGGGTGTTGAAGGGCAACTATGAAGCAATGTAAGTCCCCATGCTCCCGCCCTGATGGGTGGCTTGGGAAGGGCCAACCAAGCTGAAGCAGAAGACAAAGCATTGTCAAGCAATGTCCTGGTCGAAAGACGATCCACACGTCATGCTGCGTGTTCTCACATGACATGTGCTTACGGTGTTGTTTCCCAGGAGTTATTCATCATCGTCAGGTGATGCTCGCTTAGGGCAGCGTGTATGCAGTAACATTCCCATATCTTCGAAACCCATGAGATTCAAGAAAGGCTATAAACAGATTGTGGGCTGAAGGGAAGTGAGTGCGGTTATTGCGAGACCGCCCCACGCAGCCGCTACAACCACTTTAGCTCCCCGCTCAGAGCGCTTGCAAGCGGGGTGCCCAGACAATGTCCTTCCAGATTATGATTGGTCCCTTGCCTGTGTTGACACTATTGCAGTATCTCAAGGGCTTGCTGTTGCTCTTAGCTTCGGGCCAGGCGACTCATTATTGGACCATATTTGAAGCGAGGGGGCTTGTGATCATGGCACGGAAAACCTGGAGGGGGCATGGCCAAGAACAAGCCAAGGATTCTCTCGTAACTTCATGGGGGCTGGGGACGGGCAAAAGAAAAGAGAGTAAAGAAGGCATTAATAAGGGCTTCCTCCCCCTCCCCTCCCCCTCCCCTCCCCCTCCCCTCCCCCTCCCCTCCCCTCCCCTCCCCCACCCCCCCCCCCCAGCCCCCATGATAAATGGGACCCCCCCTGCCAAAAGTTCCCAATCCGTTCCATGTGCGACATCACGCACGGCCAGAAACCCTCGAGTTCACGACACCTGGTCCGTCCGCCAGCGGAAACTGTTTGAAGCCACCCTCTTTGCAATCATGACTGGGGTAGACTTAGGACACATTTTACATTTTACCAGTGACTCCATGTGAAGCAAACGATAAAGTATACATTCTACAACTGGGCCTAACTCTAATCATGAAGGTGGATACGGTGCTTCCCCAAAGGGAAAGTAGACTTCCGAAACCCTCCGATCGACCGCTAAGGCCCACCCTCAAGCAAACTTTGCATATCGGTTGGCATCTCAACCGACGCTACCACCATACCCAGAAGGAATGGATCATGAGGATTTGGCACTTCCGAAATCCATCCCTTTTCGCCAGCCAGCGGCCACTAGCAAACGCACCACACTTGCAACATGCTCAAAGCATGGCTGCCGAGAGAATCGCAAGTGCGAGAAGTCAAATGTATCTTCCGCAGGTTGGTTTCTAATTGGGATTTTATCCAAAGGGACGCCGCCTTTGGGTGTTGAAAGGGAAATCAAACCATGACACCAACCATTGCAGGGCATTTGCTGCAAATCGGCACTTATCGGAATACTTGTCCATGGAGGTCTTGTCTGTTTGCAAAATCCAATTCAGCCCAAACAGTGATTCAAGTCAACACAGGGCCTTACCGCCTGGGTTTGTCTCACAAGAGACCCGCAAAATGGGTGGCTTCCTTTTGGCGTCCCTTGAGCAGCAAAAAGCGGTGCCGAGCTTCTTCACTGATCTTGGGTTGGATCTTTAGACTTTCACTTTTTCGGAAATCAAGGTTTTTTTCTTCCACTAAACCCCCCAAACGGTGACACTTTTTTGCAGGGGGGTCAACAGCAACCAAGCCTTCAAACAGAAAAGCAACCAAAAAGCGGCACCCTTGAAAAGAGACGTTTTGGTCTTGTGGTTCCTTGGGACTTCGCGTGCCGAAGAGAAATTCGGTGAGCCATGGGGATCAAGGGCCTCTTCCCGTACCTCATGGAGGCGGCGCCCAAAGCAATTCAGGACTCAGAGCTGAAGCGCCGCTCCGCTGAACGCTTTTTCGAGGTCCAGCAATTGGTGCCCTTTCTCACCCATTTCTTTTTTGGTGAGGGTTTTTTCTACTAAAATAGACTACAGAAAAAAGTTGGTACCCTTATTGTGCCCTTTTACCTGGGTGAATGATAACGACCTCACACGACCGAATTCACCCCAAATGGTGGTTTATGTGGGGAATGGCCCCCCAACCACCTTATTTCAGGTTGGTGAAATAGTATAATTCACCCAGTTTTACCCTTTTTTGGTTGGGAGGGTTCCCCCAATTAAAATAGACTACAGAAAAACAGGGTACCCTTATTCTAAGCTCTCTACTTAAAAAAAAAAACGTTCCAAGAGGATTGGCGACGGTGTTTTGTTTCCTGTAATGGGTGCATGGCCAGAAGTTGTTCTGTGTTTGTTCTGTTTGTTTAAAGTGCTGAATTGCTCCGAAATTTGGATGCCCAAAAGCCAGAAGGTATTTTCTTGTTGCAATGCATTTCCGGTTGCTTGTTTTCCGAGTGGTTCCCACTTCCGTGAGAGGTTCGCTACCTGTTTTATTGCTTTTGACGCTGCTGACGCTTTCTCCAGCTTTAGTTTTTGAGGTAGGGGGGGACAGCAAGAATGGGGGGCCTGGTGTCTCCATAGTCGGGGGGTTGCTTTGCAAAGCGCAGCGCCTGTTATATGACTCGCTTGCCCAAAGGTCCTGTCGACTTTGTGACCTGTTGGTTTGTGTGATTGGGTCCATTAGTCAAGGCTCGAAAGGCTTATCCGTTTGATTCCTAGGTCCTTTGGTAAGCGAGATGGTTGTAGCAGCGATTTCCGCCTGTGATCCACGAACGGGCCACCAAGCTTTTTGGGGCCACGCGGCCAATGTTTCACCCAGACCTGAACATGGAGCCGTGAAGTCAATCATTCTCATTGCCGCGGGGAGGGTTCCCCCTCTGTCATGAGCTGAACACAGATGCGGGAATACAAAAATGGAGTGGCAAGGGTGTTTTGTTGAACCTCATGTGCATGGCCAGATTGAAGCGACATTGCTCAGAGCTGGCGGTTGTGGCGCCTCATTTCCCGGTGGCTCGAGGCTCGAAGGTTCAAAGTTTGCTTCCAGGCGAGAGGAGAGCCGAAAGGAGGTGAATCAGCCAGAACCGAAGGTTTTTTTTTTTGCCAGGAGTTGTTTCCCCCTCCCTGACCGCCGGTACCTGGAAGCTCGCAAACCCACTCAGTGCCAAATAACTGGGTGACTTTTTCCCAAAAGGAAACGTATTAGATATGAATTAGTCTTGGTTGTTCAGCCCCCCTATTTTGGCACAGTGTTCCTTTCTACTGAGGATATACTGGACGGCGCCTTGCCGTGGATGCCTCTGCTTGGATGTACCAGCCACTTGGGCTATCGTACCCTACCCACGCATGGAGTCTCCATAACCCTGAAGAGGAGATGCCAGACTTCGCTTTGCAACTCTTTGCCTTGGGGTCCTTCTGCCAACTGGCAGACACTGAATTGGCTGTGGGTCAAAACCAATGGTACCGTTTTGGGGTAGGTGCACCACCCATTTTAGTCTATCTTAGTGGGAAATTGGGATGTTCACTGGGGGTACGGGATTTTGACCCATGGCCAATTCACCTCTGGGCTCAAAATTTTCTGCCTGAGAACTCCCCACGAAATTGCGTTTCCTTTCGCAAAGAGAGCGCCAGTGTCCATCCCCAGGTTTCTGAGCATCGTGCGAACTGGCGCCGCGGCGGAAAATCTGCAGAACGACCAGGGCCACTCGGCTGAAGCCATGGGTGTGTCTTCTTTAGGGGTACCTCCCCCAAAAAAATCCCCTTTGCTTGAGAATAGGTTATATTTCCCCCTGTTGGTTTTAAAGGGAATCTATCACTACTGGAAATATTTGCTCGTCAATTGATCTTGGGATGGAGGGGAGCAAGGTTGGCGGTTTCCGGTCGCTGGGTTTCTTCTCGCAGGGAGGCATGCGTTGGGATAGTGCTGTTGCGTATGTTCCAACTGGTCAAGCTGAAATGGAAGACTGAAATTCAGGGAAGTAGTAGCCAAGCCACAAAGTGTCCGGTGTTTCAAGCAGGCCGAGCGTTTGTTCCACGGGGCACACAGGGGCTTTGCAGCTTTGGGCAAAACAAAGCAGGAAATTACTGAGGTTTCCCAGCTGCGCATAGGGCGGAAGGAGTAGACAGCCCAAGGTAGAAAGCCCAAGGCAAAACTTTATGCAGTTGTCCACTTCCCACTTGAAAGCCAACTGAGTCCTCATGCATGGCCACTTGTGTCTGAAATTCCATGTGAAGGACATGTAGGGTCCAAGTCATCCGTGCTGTTCATAGTCTTTATTGCCATATGGTTCACTGGCTGCACCTTTTTGGGCTTTTCGTTGTGCACTTGGGGAAGGGGATCTGAAGCAACAGCTCGGAGGAACAACTCTTGGCCACAAAGGCCCCTTGGCACAACTTCGACACGTCCACGCCCCCCCAGGGCCCCCACCTCCCCCTTGAAGCCGCAACGCAGTTGACCGCACTGCACGG